ATCCTTTGCCGCTCTGCTTGTAAAATATTTATTGCCTGCTGCCCCACACTCTCCAGAAGCCTTCTCAAGCGTGTAATCCTGCTAGGCTAAGTGTTCTTTGAGTTTAAGTTTAAGTTTTGTTTCTTCGGACAGTAAAATCCTCTATCTCGCGCGCGCAACACAAAATCGAGAATCAAAACGGTTGTTTTTATTCTTTACAAATACATTCAAATTACACTTTTTGGGGGGGCTGATGGTAGAGGAGTTACAACTCTCTCTCCAAATATAACTCTTCTTGTTATACTAATATATATATAAGGTATATGGGATTGGTGTACATAGATCATGTATATGTGTTTGTGTGTGTATTTTTTGGGGCAATTTCTAAAGCTAAAATGAAGAGAAAACTCGAAAATGTGTGAGTTTTGCGGGAAACTGGTAAACTGTACGATCCTAAGCCTATATACAATAATTAAAACTAAGCAACTACTACTATAAGCAAGAGGGAAGCAGGGGCTCGACGGGGGGAAGGAGGGTGGGGGGATGTATGGTTTGGGGTCATCTATTTAGGTTGCTTAGTCTTTGCTGTCATGCTCGGCCGCCTCCTGGCGTCCCACACAATTCAAGAACTCCATTTGTATGTGCGTCAGCTGGGTCTTGGTGAAGCATTGCATTTTCTTTTTAAGGAAATCAAAGAACAGATCCAGCTCATCCCGCTTGGCCATCGCCCTGGCCATATGATACACATTGCTATGCTGATCCTCCTCCTTGATCAGGGTGCTGCTGCTGGCCGCACTAATGGCCAGCGGCGGGCAGGGTCCATTTGGATTGACGCCACTGTTGAGGGCGGGTCCGCCGCATGTTAGTGGCGGCAATTGGAGTATGGTGGCCGTGGGCGTCGTATACGATGTGGTGTTGCACAGCGCAGATGACGCTGCTGGCGAGGTGGTGACTGCTGCAGCATTTAGGGACACAGCCGGTGTGCTGGAAATGGTTACGCTCGTGCTGGTCGCCTCTGTGACATCCACCAAGGAGATATGCTGTGCGGAAATGCTCTGTTCATGCCGACTGGCAACAGCTTGGGCTGCCGCCGCTGCTGCCGCTGAGGTGGTGACCAGCGTGAGATTCTTGAGCTTGCCGTCGGAGACAACGGTGCCGCCGCCGAGGACGCTATTGGTGGTCGAGCCGTTCACACAGCTTCCCGTATACTGATGATGATGGTGGGAGCGTACAGCGACCGAGACGGACTGCTGGTGCGGCTGCGGCTCAATGTCCGATATGCAAAATTCATGGGCATCGATGTAGTGGAAGCTCTTGCTGTGTGTCACATCGCTGCTGCCGTCCACGCCGTCGCTGACGCCCATCTCGCAGTCCACATGGGCACCGCTGGCCTCCTCGTACAGGCAGACCTCCTCGTAGTCTACCTCGGTGCCGGTGGCCCCGTCCTCGTCCATCTCGTGCTTGACAATGTCCACCACATGGCCGTCGTGATCGACCACATCATCGTCCTCGTCCACATCGTCGACAACATCGTCATCGTGTGCGATCTGGGATAGCTCAATGCTCGAGATGCTGCCATCGTGCTGCGACTGGTGATGGTGATGATGATGATGGTGCTGCTGCTGGTGATGATGATGCTGGTGATGATGGTGCTCATGATGCTGGGACACTGTGTCGTCCGAGACACCCTCCTCGTAGGCTGTCAGTATGAATGTTTCGGTCTCATCGCCGACCAGCGTGATCTGCGCATCATGATGCGATGACATTGCCGTATCCGACTGACCATCATCGTCCCCATCATCGTCGTCGTCGCCCTGGTCCTTCAGGTGCAGCATGGAGCCGATGGGCAGCGTTGTGCTTGTGGCACTGCTCGCCTCATAGTTACTTTGTATGCGATGTGATTTTAGTTTCGGCTGGTACACGGTCGACAGGAAATCCAACTCCTTGGCATACCGCCACTTGGACAGACGACCCTCTATACACTTCGGTGTGCGCAGGCGATACTGATGGTACGTATCCCGAAGGTTCTTCCACTTTCGTCTCACCTCCTGCACAGTGTACTTGTCTGCAGGAACGAAAAACGCTTTAAAAATTGCAACAGAAACAATCAAAAAGTGAATTTTGACTTACGTCCAATCTTTTGGGCCACCTCCTGCCAGCCGGTGAGGATGTCCGAGCGGCGCCTTTGATTCGGCTGCAATTTGTAGTTGTAGAGCGCTGGATTCTGGCGCACCAGATTGATGAGCGTCAGAATGTCGTCGGTTGGCGCATTATCCTTGTGATAGCGTTTCCGCTCCGATGTGGACGACATGTTGTTTTTGTCTGCTTGTGCTGGACTCCCGCTCCCAGTGGTCACATTTAATTTTCCTCACGCAATTCGGAGAAAATCGGTTCTGGGCTTGGAAGGCAATGTTATTGTTTTTCAAACGGAATGCGACTCCAGACGTTTTTGGTTCGTCTGCTTATTGGCGAGGTCGCACACACCACACCACACCATACCACACACACACACACACACCAACAGCAACACCAATGCACACACAAATGGCGCGTAGGTGCGCGCTTGCCACACGGAACACGGCTACGACGTAATCGTAGTGGTAGCCGGAAGTAAATGAAGCTGTCTTCTAGCTGCGGAAGCCGATGCTGGGGCACATAATATATGCGGATTACCTAAACTCCAAATTGATTGTACTTGATGCTTTTTTACCTCTCTTCTGGCTATTGCAGCCTAGTGATGGACTTTACTGGCATTGGCGTACCTGTTACTTATCGCTAATTTTGTTACCTCCACAGTCATCGCCTAGAGATAAGCACAGTGGCTTTGCTCCTCCATGACAATGGATTCGATTCTTTGAAGACATGCCAAGCAAAACAGCATTATTCTCATTTACAATCACTTTTCTAATTTCATTCCGTATTTAATTGGCAATTGAACTTTAGGACAACGACAGAACGGTAGGGATGGAACCTTGCGCAGAGACCATGCACGCTCGTCACGATAGTTGTTGCCAATCGAATGCCACAACGAAGGTCCAAATTTTGTGAATTATTATCAAACAGTTTTTAAAGGTTCATCAAATAGTTTTATTTTTATTATTCAGCAGCATTAGTCATTAGTCATAACACCGCTGATTAAAATCAAATTTCTTATCAGCCGATACTATTCGATAGCAGTTGTAATGGCCGGCTACCGATAGTTCCCACATTGTTTGTGGGGACAATTAAATATTAAATTGCCGCATAAAACGTGTTAGATTGAAAAAGAATGAGCACACCCGCTAAAAATAATGGCACGGGACCTGCGCGAGGCTCTCACCTCTTGCACGGACCCCCTCAAAGCCATTGAGAGTTTTCAGGTTTGTTTACGTTGCAAATTGGGCGCGAAAAATCGCTAATGCACCTGTCCCACTCAATTACAGCTGGAGAATGGGGTGCTGTTGCCGTCGTTACGGCCCATGCTGCCGCTTCTGGACCTCCACGGAGTGCGACGTCTGGATTTCCACACGTCACACATGGAGGAGCTGCGCGACAAGCTGATTGCCCACATCAACGAGCTGGGTAAGAAAGAGCCCTTCGAGCGAAAAAAGAAGCTGACGCAGCTGCTGGTGAAGAGCTTCCCCGTCGTGCGGATCAAGTCACTGAGGCTGGTGGTGATGGCCATCCTGAGGGACAAACAGCACATCGATGACAAGTACCTCAAGATTCTGGTGCGCGACTGGGAGCTGTACGCCGACACGGACACGGAGGTGAATCGCCAGATCTGGCGGGACAATCAGTCGCTGTTCGGCGACGAAGTTTTACCTCTGCTCTCGCAGTACATCCGGGAGAAGGAGCACATCCTCTTCGATCACACAAACCTCAACAATTTGTTCTTCCATCCGACGCCCAAGGTGCTACGGCAAGGCGAGTCGGTGAAGAAGCTGGCCAACATGATCGGCACCAGCGTGAAGCTGTACGACATGGTGCTGCAGTTCCTGAGGACTCTCTTCCTGCGCACCCGCAATGTGCACTATTGCAAGCTGCGAGCGGAGCTGCTGATGGCGCTGCACGACCTTGAGGTGCAGGAAATCATCTCGATTGAACCCTGTCACAATTTCACGTGGTGCCTGGACGCCTGCATCCGTGAGAAGAATGTGGACATCAAGCGATCGCGCGAGCTGCAGGCCTTTCTCGACAACTTGACATGCTGAAGCTGCTGTGGTATGTGCACAACAAGTTGCCCTCCTGCCGCTTGGGCACACTCATGAAGGCCATGCAACCGACAACGGCCCACAATGAGCATGTGCACAAGCTGTACGAAACGCTGACGGATTGAATTGCGGCGGTATGCACCAGAGACCCTGGTGGTGGAGACACCGCCAGTGGACTTTGATTCGCCATTGAAGTCGGTGCCAACACCAGGTCCGCACTACAATGCCCAATAGCCAAAGGAAACGGTGGTCGCGGTAACAGCGGCTGTCGTCGGATGATGGACAATCTTACACGTAATAGATCTAAAGCTGATTAGATGATGGTTGGCAGTCACATGAAGCAACTATACAAGGAGGTCTCGTCGGCAGCAGGGCGTCTAACAATGCTGTTAATAAGTGCGGGTGAAAGTGCGTATTTAACCCTTTGATGGCAACGTGAAAGGCAAACGAGATTATTTTTGTTTTATAATTTGACCAGCAAACATGCACTGAACTCTAAGGGCGCAAGGCAGCCGACGAGATCACCTCGTATAATTGCAATTTATTAGTAGCTGCTGAATGTTATTTTTTTTATACCGATTTTCCACTGAGCCTGGGCTTCGTTTTATGCCATTGCAATTAATCAACAGACACTTATAGCTCATGTCCGTCATACAATGTCTGTACGTGTTTGGTGGGCGAAACTTCTCAGGATTATATCACACACACAAACCCCAATAGCAGTTGCCTTAAATCGTGAAACATAAAACAAAACAAAAACTAGAAAAGAAGTCAAACAAATTTTAGTTAAAAATCATAGAAACCAATCAATGACAATTTATAAATGTAGTGCATAGATATATTTAGAGCTTCCGCACGAGAAGCAGCTTATTCGGACTTTGTTTTTAATTTTTTTTAGCGCTTGAAGTTAGTTTTTTTTAACTATATACAAATCTTATATAATTATTATATATTAATATTATATAATTATTATATGTTTAGAGTAGTTTTTTGGCATTTGACCAAGGACCAAGGACCATTGATAGATTTATTAATTTAAGCAAAAGGCAAATAATATAAATAAATATATACAACAAATTAGAGTACAAATTATTATCGTGTGCACTTTTATTCGGGGGGGGGGGGGGGGGGGAATCTTTTTGTAATTAATTAAATATTTAAATTACAATTTAAATATTATAAACATTATCAATGTAATTTATAACAATTACTTGGCAGACCTTATGCTATCCTATCTAGGCTGGACGAGTGTTCAATGGTTAAAAAACAACAACAGGAGAGACAATAGTTTTTACATCATTTAAAAATATAGAGATGGGTTGCTTTGGCTCTTGAGTAATTCTTTTGCTCTGTTGTTGGAAGTAGCAGCTTGGAAGTCCTTCCGTTTGGTTGCAGTCGCTTTAGGGATACACCGGACTGGGCGGCTATGGGGACTCCGTTTCCGATTGTGGCGTTTGGGGCGATTGTGTGCCCGATTGCGACGGACTGGAGGACACAAAGGTCGTTTGCAGCGGACTGGTGGTGGCTGTTTGGGGCAACAACTGACCGGGCGGCGTGCCGGATGACTCTGTGCCTGATTGTGGCGTTTCGGGTGAGACTGTGCCAGGACTGGGCAGCTGTGAGGCATTGGGGGACACGCTCGGCATGCCAACCTGTGGATTGGGCGGACTAGGCGACACCGTTGGGGCCGTACTCGGCGGCGACGTTTGCAGTGCCGACGCCTCCGACTGGTAGGATTGGGATGTGCGCGGTGAACTGGGCGACACAGTTGGGGTCACACGCGGAGGACTGGGCGACACCGTTTGCAGCTGATGCGGCGGACTGGGTGAGGCCGAACGCCGCTGTGGCGGTGCGGGCGTAGCAAAGATTTCCTCAATGCGCTGATTCCGACAGAACTTAAGCAGTTCCGTGTATTCCGTGTGCAGGCGACGCCACTGTCCGTGCGACTTCAATGTGTCCAGCACGCACTGCGCCAGCTCGTGCTTCGACGCGAACTAGAGCGAGACAGGGAAGAGCGTGGATAAGTGCTGACAAAGGGTAAGCCAACCCATTCTTACCGTTGAAATGCCCGTGTCCGAATTCGAGAGCAACTCATCGAGGAACATACGCAAACGTTTCTCCGAGCCATAGGCGGATAATTGAAGTGCCTGCATCGTGTGCCAATGCTTCAGTTCATCCGTCGATTGCAGCGCTTCGCACAACTTTATTTGATTGTCGATGAACAGAATTTTAGCCGTCTGCTGCCAGCTCTCCAATTTACGCCTAAGGGAGCAAAGGAGCAGGCAGATGAGGAGGAGGAATATCAATGGTTGGGATGAGATAACTTACAACTCCATGCCGCTGCCGAGCACAAAGTAGTTCTGGCTACTGGCCTGCATGCTGAGCAGCGGAAATTTACGCGCCACAAGATCCTCGTCGCGTGGCAGAGTGCCTCGGATGCCATGGTACATGATCGCATCCTTGGTGGCCAGCACCAGCCATGACTCGAGGCTGGTGGAGTACGAGTACGAGTTGCCATTGGGGAAGCCAATCAGCGGCATGCCCTGATCCGTCACCGAGAACTGAACGACAGCGCCGTGCTTGATCAGCAGCTCCTTGCAGCCAGCGGCCAGGCTAATAGTCGCGCCAGCAATATTCCAAATGCGCAACAAACCGCACTCAGTAAGCACTCCCACCAAACTGTTGTCGGGACTCTGTTGGGAAGGGATAAAAAGGTTTATCTTAAGGCAACTTCTATCTTTTGGAATACTCACAAAAGCGCAGTGCACGGCGGAGCTGGAGAGAGCAATGGCTGGGAAGACATGACAGCCCGTTTCCATTGATATCAGCCGCATGCTGCCATCGAGGGAGCAGAGCATGCAGTATTTGGCGCAGAGATTCACATTGACCACAGGCGAGCCCACATAGAACTCCCAGAGGAATTCGCCATTATTGCTGGCCGTCACCTTGGCCAGCATCCCATGACTCGTCTTCAGGTGTCCATTCTGCACGAGCAGCCTGTAATCGAGGGCCGTCTTCACGAACTCACTCTTCGCCGAGGCCGTAATATTGAGCTTGGGACCCATCGTTGTGCCCTGATGCTCGTCGGGGGTCTTGTGCGAGCGTTGAAAGTCCGCCTGCTGGCTGGTATCGAAGGGCGTTCGATCCTGCCGCCGATGCGCTGCTGCAGGCTGATGCTTGCGTGCCGACGACACCAACGGCTCGGGCATGCGTGGCGTCACCGCGCACTCCGTGGGCGTGGTGGCATGCGAACGCTCTATCGCGGCTGGCACTGTGGGCGTGCCACTGCTGGAGGCAATGGAGGCTGGAGCACGCTCCTCCTCATTGAGCGGTATGAACATGGGCGTTATCCTTCGTTTGCCATCCTTCGTGCGTGTCTCGGTCTGTTTGCTGATGGGTCGCTGTGCCGTGGAGGCCGTGCGTCGCTCCAGCGCGCCATTGGGCAGCGGAAAGGGCAGCGCCGACGTTTGCAGTGCCAACGCCTCCGACTGGTAGGAACAACTCTGATCGGCTGTCGCCACCGACGTCTTACTGCCGAGACCCAAGCCGGCGCCATACAACTCCCCGTAAAGCTTCATGAACAGCGCGTCCATTTTGTCCGCGGAGAGTCGCTCGCCGAGCTCTTCGTCGGTGAACTGCAGGCAGGCCACAGTGCCGTCGCCGCTGCAGGCCATTAGCAGACACTGGTCGGGGCCCCAGGACAGGTCCAGGATGCTGTCCTCGAACAGTTCGTGGATGAGTACCAGCGGCCGCTGCAGCGCCGTCATCCACACGGAGAGCGAGCGATCCCTGGAGCCAACGGCCAGGCAGCAGTACTGCAGCTTCTTCTGGCCATCGGGCATTGGGCGGCACAGCACCGAGTTGTGGAAGCGGACGCAGGTGACGGCCTTGCGATGACCAACGAAATCCTTGTCACAGCGCCAGCCCTCACGCTCGATGATCTGTGCGGTGGGTACGCCGCCGTTCATGGCATGGGCCGAGACCAGATACTGGCCATCCGGTGACCAGGAGAGACGCAGAATATGCGTCGTGCCGCCGCACTCCTCGAACGGCTCTGTGATCGTCTCGGAGAGTGTCCAGTCGATGGTGTTCCACGTTTTGATGCTATGATCGTCGGACTGGGAGGCGAGAAACCTGCCCACCGGATCCCAGGACACACCCTTCACCAGGCCCGTGTGCCCCTTCAGCGTGGTCACCATCGCGGGGAACGCCTGGGCATCCCAAATGATGACAGTATTGTCGATGCTGCAGCTGGCCAAATAGATGTCATTGGGGGACCAGGCGAGGTCCAGCACATCGCCCGCATGGCCGCGCAGCGTGTGGAAGCAGCGCCACGATTCGTGATTCTTCTGCATCCCGCCGGTGCCGAAGACACCGCTGGATCCGGTGATTTTGCGCCAAATCATTATCAGCTTATCGTCGGAGCCGGAGGCGAGGTAGACGCCGTTCTGCGACCAGCGCACACAGTTGACGCACGCCAGGTGCTGGTCCATCTGGCACAGCATCTTCGGTATCGCCTCATCGAACTCATCCTTCTCGCTGAGCACCGGCTGAAGGTTCCAGATAACGACACGACCGCAATCGTTGCCCTGACCGCCGGTAGCGAACTTTGTACAGTCCTGATCGATGTCTACCGAGAAGATTTGCTTTGCTGCAACACCAGCACACACACACAGCCATAAAAGAGAAAGAAAACAGAGTAAAGGACTTGCAGCAGCAGCCGAGTCGACTTGGCCAGATGGGGCTCCTCTTCACAGCCTCCACACTCACCATCGTGATGGACCCATGCGGGTTTTAGGAGCTTCATGGAAACACAAGGACCTGGCTACCGACAGCGAGTATCTTTTATGGGATTGAACCTCCCTTCAATCGGGCTAATCAACTAATAAAAACTAATAATAGTTTTTTAAACAAAAAAATCAGGGATGATATTCGTATGGAACCGATAAGAAAAGTAACTTTCTAGCGGCTTTACGCCAGGCAGTACTCAGATCCATGAAGTAATTATATAAGGAGGTACCGTCGGCAAAATTGCTCTACTATCTACCCCGTTTGCAAGGGCGAGTGAAAGGGCTCTGCGCTGTAAGTGTGAGTGAAACGAAACTATCGTGTGATGGATTGCCCATTACGAGAAAATGAGTTTAAGCTATTTTTCTAAATTTAATTTATTAATAAGCTACTACTTGAAAAATTTTGGTATTTGGTATTTGGCTTTTTAGTAGATTTTGTTTTCCTCAGGCTCTTAATTCTAAAAAAAATAAAAATTTTATTGGCAAACATGGAAAAGTTTCTTTTTCGATTCGTTTATTAAAACAAAATCGAAAAAATTCGTCCGCAATTATAGGCCGAGCAAGCCCTAACGCCGACCCGACGGCACCTCCTTATATAATTACTTCATGGGCAGTACTCAGATCGACAAAAAAACAGGCCAAACAAATCTAGAAAGTCAGACGATAGTATTTTGTGGTATCGATAGTATTTGTGTGGTATTCTTTGGTATGTTGCTTTCAGCCGGAAAAATAAAGATCTGTTTTAATATCCGAGAGGGTACCTAGCAAACAGAGAGTAAAGTGTTAATCAAATGAAGGCAACAATGCCTCTGAAGGTGAAAGATAAATGACCACCGTGCTTCTAAACGAGGTTAAGGCCATCAAACGGCAAAAACGGAAACAATTATTAAAGATTAATGAGATTATATTGAATTTATTTGCATTTTTAATTTGTTTAACTTATTTGAACGCCAGTATCTTCAT